GATGGGGAATCAAATCCCCGCCCCACCCCGCCCCCTTGCCATCCCTAGTCATTACAACTCCGCTATAAAGATGAAGTTCTTCCTCCCAACTAAGGTGGTCCAATAAAATTTAAACACATATCCAAAACTTTAAAATTTTAAAAAGGTTATTGTCCAACTTCTTACGGGTTAAACAGAAACCCAAATTTTTCTTTCCCAATTTAAATTTTTTTAGAATCTCTTCTCTCTCTTCCCCTCTCTCCTGCAAATCTCCATGCCTAACCTCCATCTGAGACGCTACATCAATGAAATACTCGACTTTTATTCCATATGTAAAATGATATACAAACTAATAGAAGCTCATAATTGACACAAAACTGCACCAATCGATCGAAGGTGTTGGGAACTTGAGAGGGATGAAAAAGATATATATAACTTCGACAAAATGTTTAAGTTCCTATTCTGTTTCCTATTCACATTCTCTAATGCTGTGTTTGGTATGTAGGAAAAATGTCATAAAAATTGGAAATTAATGTGTTATGGAAATTGTTTCTTTAAATTTTATTTTAGTGTTTATTTTGTTGAAAATTTCTTAGTGCACCACCTCGGGGTCCATTTAATGCCTCGATGGTCAATTATTTCGGTACATCCATAAGTACACGCTCGGGACAATTGGAATTCTCATGAGATGTTTGTGCTTTCTGGATTTGCAAGTAAAAGTTCATCTACTTCTAATTTTTATATTGAGTATCTAAGCATTGGTTTTGAACAATATATTATTGCGTCTTATGTCCTTAGATTGTTTTTGCTACAGGGCGTTACAACTACATGATTCGATCACAGAGAGGTTTGTGTTGTTTTGAAACTTGGGTTACGCTTCTCTTTGTTTTTCCTTCTATTTTGGTGCTCGATGATACAAGAATGTAATTAAGTCATCGAAGTGACCATTTCTTTAGCGGTTTTAACTTAGAAGACCATTTGGTAGGGTTGAGTAACTGAATGATATACGGCTATTTAACTGAATGATTTTTATTTATAGTAGTGTTGATTGTTGAGTATTGAATTATCTTTTTCGCGTAGTTTAGCTTGCCACTGGTGTTTTCTATATTCCTTTTCCGATTTAAGCAGAAAGAAAAGATCATGGGCAACGTGGTGTGTAAACGACAGGCTTATTATATGGTAATGAGTTGGAATTATAGAGGAAATTGTTGACTTTTTTGAGCTCCCTGTGTCCTTAGGACCTTTTTCTTGACTTCGGCTCTTGTATATATAGCTTCCGGGATGCATTTCTCTAGCTTTCTAATATAATTTTACTTATAAAAAAAATGGTAATGAATTTGAATTATAAGTAACGGGATAACTTATAATCAGTAGAACAATGTTGGTAAGAATATTAATGGTTCTTAGGGTTTGCTAGCCGATGTGAGACCAATATTGTGGCATGACTGTTTGAAATTTTCTAGTAGTATATTTGATAATTATGTATCAATTAGATTCTTGGATACATCAGAGTGATCTTAGATCACATTATGATATATATGTGTGTGTGTGTGTGTGTGTGTGTTTAGGGTTATAACTCTTAATCTGTGGTGATTATATGTTTACCCGTGGGAGTTGTAATTTCAGGGAACAAAGAAATTGATTATGTAACCAGAAACGAAGACAGTGGAGAAGGGCTCTCTCACGTGAATTAATTAGGGGTTTAGAGTTATGTACCTTTTATTAACCAATGCCATGTTAGCTCGTCATATTAGCCGCCACATAGATTCAAGACATATATTACCACGAAATTCATTCGAGACATGTAACCGTGCTCGTTGGATAAGTATTGTACTTGTATTTATCAAAAATAATAATAATAATAAGGAAGAGAAAGAGAAAATAAATTCTTTATTTCATCTCTATCTAAAAAAAATTAAACATTATGTCAAAAGTGTTCTTTTTCCAGCAACCAAGTTACCAAGTGGGGATTTCAAGGATGTTCAATCTCTAGTGCTAAAATTGTGGATGATGATTTTTCCACATCAATAATATATATATATATATATATCTGCTATAAAAGTGTATTAAATTTATAATGTATACATAAGCATTTTAAAATGTTATTTTCATTAAAAAAAAGTACATTTTGTTTAAATACTAACACATCTTTAATTTAGTTGTCTGTTTAATTCCTTAAAGTGACGTACTCTCCTTCCTCAAACGTTTTGTTAAAATAATTTTTTAAAATTATATTATTACCATTGTATGAACAGTATAAAACACCACTGTGACTCTAGTCCAAATGGTATATCATCTATCCTTTTCAAAGGAATGTTGAGAGTTTGTACCCTACTAAGGGCTTATTGTGGGCATGTGCGTGCGTTCAAGTCCCACTAGGGACATGAGTATAATAGGTGTGCTTGTTTGCTTTAAATTTGTTAGATAAATGAATGATTCTCCCACCAAACATGTCTCTATTAAACTTCTCTTATGCTCTATTCGACAAGAAGGAAAAAAATTGAATGAAATGGAGAGAAAAAAGAATGACTGAAACAACCTTATGAAAGAGATTAAACGTTTGCCTCTTTTTGTTCGGTTAAATGAAAGAGAATGGAAAAATTGACAATTTAATTTAATCAGATAAAAAGAAAGATAAATTTTTAAGTTATTTTTATCATTAAACCAATCCCTTACTTTATTTATGAAATTTATTAAATATTTATAAAGGGTGATATAGTAATTTAAAATTTCTATAATAGACTCACTTGTCTTCTCTCCTCCTATCTTCTGCCGAGCGGATGAAAATTTATGAAGGATGAAGGATGACTCATTTTTCTTATTATCCTTTCTTTCCTTATATAATCTCTACTGAACTAAAGAAATTTATTCATTTCTTCTTATTTTCCTTCCACTTCTTTTCTTTCCTTCCTACCGAACGTAGCATTAATTCCATCCAAGGTGGGTGTACTCATCAGGGTATATAAAATCGTCATCCCTAGAATAGTGGCTTACTCTTGCACTTTACCATTTGGATAATATAATTATTTTCAAATTTGGCTCCCAAACATGAAATAAGCTATCCAAAGTCGATCAATATTGTTCTCCAAAGTCGATCAATATCTTCTTTTTTCTTCAAGCTCCCCCATATAAACACTATATTTTTTCCACATAATTATTGTTCTCCAAAGTCGATCTTCAAGCAAGTTGCTTTATATTTTGATTGTACGCAAACTTTAGTAGGTTGTGACAAATAAATTTTCTGACTCAATTTTGTTAAAATAAATCTTCTTCGAACTTAAATTGCATAAAAATTGTATTAAAACTAACTTTAGGCAAGTTTTACAAGTGCAAGTGAAGTTTCACCATTAAACAAGTGCAAGTGAATTCTTAATTAAATTGTTTTTCAAGCATGCATATAAGAGTTCAGTATTGTGAACTAACTTTAATTAAAGTTATAAATTTTGTTATCCTTTCGATTACCTTGAGTATGAAAAAACTGTTTATAAAAAAAACTTATTTAAAATACTTTACTAATTAACTTTAGCTATATGTGGATTGAGTTTTTCACATCTTATAAAATATGTTTATTTGGATTATAGTATGTAATTATTTATTAGTTTTAATCATAAAAAAATATCCACTCTCTCACACACAAATTAAAACCCTTTCAAGAATAAGTCTGTGTCTCTGTCTCTCTCTCTCTCACACACAAAAAATATATATACAAAAATTAAAATATATATAAAAATTTGAGGGTTCAATTTTATGAGTTGCTAAAACGAGAAAAAATAAATAAAGGAAAAATTAATTTCCACAAAAAAAATGATTGTGTAAAGTAGGAAAAACACCCTTAATATTTACATTTTTGGCAAATAACACTCTTATTTTTTATGTTATATATATAAATCTGTTAAATTTGACAAAAATGAATGAAGAATGGCTTATATTGTATATATAAGTCCCTTAAGTATAAAAAAATGAGTAAATTATGGCTTGAAATCCCTATTAAGATATAAAATTTCAAAAACACTTGTATCTCTTTCGATAATATCTTTATATATATATATACATACATACATATATACATATACTAAACCCACGCCGGACATATCAAGTCGTCGTCCAAAATTTGTTCCAAAATTAAATGTTATGAACTTAGGGAATTATACATTATGGGGAGCCAATAAATTTTAAACCGACAACCCCAGAATGTATTTATCCAAAAAAAAAAAAGTTTTTATTTGGAAATGGGATGGGTTTTGTGACCATATGATCTGCACCATGATTACTTAAGAGTTGAGCGGTCGAGTCCCGTAACGAGCAATTTGTGAAACCAACAACCAAAATTAGAAAACATATATCCGTTGCTTTCTCTCTCTATCACACACACATTCAAAACATATAGCCGTTGGCAGATTGAAACCCACAAACACACACTCACACACACAGATTGAAACCCTATTGCAATTGTTACTTCACGAATCAGTCGCCTTTCTCTCTCTATCACACACACACAGATTGAAAACATATAACCGTTGCTCGCTCTCTCGGACGCGCAGATTGAAAACACAGAGATTGAAACCCTATTGCAATTGTTACTTCACGAATCAGTCCCTTCAACACCATCTCTGCTTGATTACAGAAGAACCCTTTTGCAATTGTTGGTTTGGCGATTCAGTCTGTCTCTCTCTCTTGGTTTAGAGTCGATCAGAAGAACACATTTTAGGGTTAGGCGTGGCTTCCTTCAACACCATCATACAGTATCTCTCTCTCAAACTCAAAGCTTCAATCTTGGTAATTAACGCTCTCTGTTAATTCTTATGTCCTTGTCTTTCCAGCGGTTATTATCAATATTCTGAAGACTAAATTCGTGCCCTCCTCTCACACTAAAAGAAGTGTAATTCCTTTATCATCATCGTCGTCGTCATCAATTGGAATATCTTCCTGCCGTTTAAGTAATCTGAAAGACTTAATACGAAAGTTTCATACTTCTAATTGCTTTATCATCATCATCATCATCAATATCAAAGAACAGAGAGATGGAAAGGAAGATGCTGTGGACGCGAGGAAGAAAATTGGGGATGGGGGGCTTTGGTGTGGTGTCTTTAGCAAAGGAATATCAGGAAGGTATTTTTATGGCTGTCAAATCTGCTGAGGTCTCTGTCTCACACTCCCTTGCCAAAGAGAAAAAGATTCTTCAGCAACTTGAAGGCTGTCCTTACATTCTTAGCTGTTTCGGGGACGGGCTTACGACTGAGAATGGAATTACGCTGTACAATATAATGCTGGAGTTTGCATCCGGCGGTAGCTTGGCTGACCGTGTAGAGGGGTCCGGTGGTAAAGGATTGTCAGAGTTTAAGGTCAAGCAATACACAAAAACGGTTCTCATTGGTCTCAGTTACATTCACAAGATGGGTTACGTTCATTGTGATATAAAGCCCCATAATATTCTACTTGTGAGTGAGGACACTAAGAGTTTTATTATTCCGAGATTGAATTTGAAAAGGGACAAAGAAATAGCAAAAATTGCTGATTTTGGGCTTGCAATGAAGATTGGAAAGAAGAGAAGTCCCAAGTTGAGGGGGACCGCTATGTATTTGGCACCGGAGTCAGTCCGTCATCTAGAATACCAACCTCATTCGGATATTTGGGCACTTGGGTGCACTGTGTTACAGCTGATTACTGGGACATCTCCATGGCATTGTGAGCCACGCACTCATCCTCGTGCTCTTTTGTATCGCATCGGTTGGGGTAAAAAACTGCCAAAGATTCCAAGCTGGGTGTCTAAAGAGGCGAAAGATTTCTTGGAGAAGTGTTTGGTTGATGATCCGAAGTCACGGTGGTCTGCCGACAAGCTCTTGGGCCATTCCTTTGTGTCATCTATGGGCAGTGCTACTAAGGATGTTAAAGAAGAAAGAAGCAAAGTTTTTCCAAGTGAAACAAGAAACGCAGCATGTGTTTCATCAACTCTGACTTCATCACTTGAACATCAAATTAAACCTTATAAGATTATGTCAAAGAGAAGGCTTGATAGACAAAAACATGAAGAGAATTGCAGTGGTAAGAGAAGAAGAAAAATGCAAGAGGTCCAGGAATTAGCACAACAGCAGCCTAATCTAACATGCTATCAACGTTACTGGGGAGCGAAGAGAACTGCAACAGTTAATGATTCAAGGGATCCTGTCAATTTCTCTTTGGGAGTGCGATGGTGATATCTATATCTTGGAAGCCAAAGGCCAATGATCAACCTCATTCAGTATGATTATCCGGAACTTGAGTCTGACTGAAGATCTTTTGCTTTTGTGTTTTGTATTTTAATCAGCTATGATGCCATGCAGGTTTCCTCTGTTTAGTAATGGAAACACTGCTGGATTATATTTAGCATATTAGGGTGTTAATATGTATAGGGACACCAAGCCCTTGCTGTTTTTTTGTATGTCTTAAGGGTTGTTACATTTGTACAGTTATTCACACATATATATATACACAAATTTGCTCCAGTTTGGAACATTCTTCCCTCTTGATGTTCATGGCCTTATTGGGTCTTAAACTTTCTGAAATTTTGACTGAGTTGTATCTATATGATCATCAATGGCCCAACCTGCAGCCAAGCAATCCAGCAACCTTTTTGATTCTTCATCGACAATTTCAAATACATCATCAATTTCTATTGCAGTAACCTTTTCAATTCTCTTTGTTTCTGATTTTGTTTGTTGCTAGTTAACTTTGTTTTTTGGGAGTCTTGTTCATTTTGACATTTCCATATATTCATTATTGAAGCAAAGGGTTTCATATTTAATTATGCCTGAACTTCAACTTGTAGCTGTTTGGATGGTTCTTCTATATTCCAATTTGCAGGTTGTTACCCTCCTTCAGACTTATAGCTTGCTTCATCTGCGGTCTCTCTGCGTCCCTGTCTCTATTTGTAATAGTATATATGTGTGTGTGTGTGTGTGCTTGAACTGCTCAAAGATTGATTTAAATTTTGTCATTAAATACTCAAATCAACATCTTATTTTTTATTTTGAATGATAACAGCTTTATACTCTGCCTCCTCATGTCTCTATTTATAATAGTAGTTTACTAGATTTGTGTTATAAGAACTTACAAACCAATATCTTTCTACTTTAATCTTATCTAATTGTATATTTAGATGCATATACAGTTAGATATAATAGTTGTCTACCAGTTTTAAAATCAGGAAGTTGCAAGCCAATATATTTCGACTTCAATGTTATCTCTGTATATGAAGATGCACAATTGGAGAGAGAACATGACTTCACTCGATTTAAAATCAGGGAACTAATGCTCCTTGTTAACAAAACTTGCCTTTATTATACTTTCAAACATCAAACTAATCGGTACTGGTAATATCACATTGCTCATCTACAAAACCAAAAAAAAAAAAAAAAGAGAAAAGAAAAAAAAAAAAAAAAAAGAAAGTCGTAAACTTATTTTTGTTGGCAAATGATTTATGGGACTCTTCTTAAGGACACAAGACATAATTACACAAATATCTTAACACACTGACATAAAATCTGAATTATTTTTTTGAAGCTTTCCATAATCTTCTAATTTATGAAATCCCATTAATGCATGTGATTCAATAAGGCGACAAGTGACAGGAAAATGTGGGGACCATTGAAGCTGCATCTTCTCTATGATGAGAATCAAGGCCGGTTCTAGCAAATGTCTTTTGTCCTGCCTTCTTTATGAGGGACATGCCTTGCATTGTCGAATTGATTCTATTTGATTCTAGCTGCTGTATACCCAGTGAAAGCCTTCTATTTAGAGGGGTGGCAGTGCTAAAACCTCCGTTCAAGCTTCTGTTTGAAAGACGCCGATTACTTTTGCTTGGCCTCGAGCTAAACAAATTTTCTTGCTCAACTACTACTTGAGTCTGCACCTTCTTCTTTTCCTGTGGGGGGGGGGGGGGGGGGGGGGGCGGGGCTTCATACAAAAGTAAGTTAAATTGAAAGAATTCATTGTAGATTTACGCGCTTTATTTTATCATATACATCCATACTAATCTTAAGAGAGCATCACAAAATGTTGATGGTAATTCGTGAGCAGGACGAGGAGATCGTTCCACGCAAGCCAAGAGATCTGAGATTAGTATCCAAGTGGAGATCCAAGCAACACAAGGGATTCTCTGAGTGTGGAGATTAAGAAAGGGAAGGCCGACCTCGGTACCATGTAAACTCGAGCTTGTCAGAGGATAAGTGTTAATGTGGTGGTTCCCCCTCTTAAAGGCTGATTAACACCCCTATTTATAGTGTTTACTTCTTCGGTCAATGCCTTTTAGTCCTTTGGCTGAGCCTGTTCTTATCCAAAGGTTTGATGGCCTCTTCGTCTGACGGATGAGACACTGATGGATGGGCCGCGGTGCTTTGCCCTCCGGTCAAAGGAGGTAACGGCGCTCCCTAATTAATGCAGGTCTTATCAAATGTCTTTCGCAATTAATGCGTTTCTTATCCTTCATCGCTCGAGCTTGGGTACCGGGTATCCTTTCCCCCTTGTGCTGGCCTCAGACTGAGGCGACCCCTTAGATCTCAGCCACCTATCCACCTGTCCTCAGATTCCCGTGCTTCAGTAGGGATAGGCCCCTTTCGAGGTCCTGCCTTCATGACCTCGCAGGTTCCCATCCCAGTTCTATCCCGAGGTCTTCTTTGCCAAGAAGGGAAATGTGTAAACAGGTTAGTCGAGGTTGCTCTTTCAGAGAGCACCCTCGAGCGAGCCCGGGGGGGGGGGAAGAGCCCATCCGACTCGAGCGGGGCACGTCCACAGAAGAGGAAGGGTAGCGACCCCTCCCTCGGCCAGTGAGTTCCGTTATTGGATAGATAGCTCGAGAATACCTAATCCACCGTGGGCATGCCAAGTAATCACTGGCCAGTTGTGCCTAAGTTGCAGAGGTGGCGCCACTTAGTCATCTATCGTGGCGCGGTCATCAACACAAAACATAATTTTTATTGTAGTGTCAATGATATACTAACCCTTTGTCTGTGCTTTTCCTCTTCTTTTTCCTGCCTCAACATATTGTACTCCACCAACATTGCCAGTAGAGGTACCTAAGCAAGAGAAGCATTCACTTTCCATGTAAGAGTGACTTTGGTTTATAGAGAAGAAATGCAGAATTGAAAGAGATATTGAGAAATGCAAGATCAAGCAACAAGTGATAAACAAATGTGGCTTTTATTGACGTTAGGACAGCAACTTCTTTTCATTTAACATGAAGCAAATAGTAAGTTCTCTTCCACTTCTATTTTATCATCGTCGTTTGACTTGAAGCGGATAGTGTTTGTGACAGAACTTGATCTGATTAGCATGATTACAGTGAAAGGGGTTTGCAGTTCAACCTTGTTGTGTTACTAAATTAGTTAAGTTTCCAATAACTCCTTATTTAGCAATTTAGGTGAAAATGTATTGGGAAAGACATTTTCTGTTGAATATAGGGTCATTGTCTTGTACAATGTTAAAAACTCAGACTAACAAGTCTCAAGTTCGAAACACTTCGAGTCTAAGAGCAGCCACTTCGTTTAAATAATACTAAAGGTTAGGTTTGTTTCTGCTGTTCGCCTCCCAGCAACCAACGTAGGCGTAATGCACTGGGCAATGTATTTTATTTTATTTTTTTTCTGTCGAATTTGTAACTAAAGCTGATAAGAGAAAAAAAATAGCTTTGTAATTCTTTTTTGCGTTTTAGTTCTAAACGTGCTGAAGTCCCTAGGAATGTAAGGAAAGATGATGCTGAGGCGGCGCTGAAGCCACTGCAGACTGCAGTGGATGGAGTTAAGGAAGAACTCAAGAAACTCAACAAGGGCGTGGGGGCGTTCTTGGAAGGATTGAAGTCGTCAAAGTGACCATTTCTATAGCGGTTTTAACTTAAAAGACCATTTGGTAGGTTTGAGTAACTGAATGATTGTTATTTATAGTAGTGTTGAGAATCGAATTTTCTTTTTCATGTACATGGTATGTTGTGTCTGCTGTATTTTGATGGTTTTAGCTTGCCACTGGCTTTTTCTTATTGTTGTTTATGGACTTCTATATTCCTTTTCCGATTTAAGCCGACAGAAAGGAAATATCATGGGCAAGGTGGTGTGTAACGACAGGCTTATTATGGTAATGAGTTGGAATTATCTATAGATGAGACTGTTGATTTTTTTGGGTTGCCCTTTTTCTTGGTTTCGGCCCTTGTATAGCTTCCGGGATACGTTCCTCTTTTCCCCTCTTGAACACTTAAATCAGCGGAAAACTTTTGATTATGGTTTTCTAAATGAACGATTATTATTTATAGTAGTGTTGAGAATTGAATTCTGTTTTTCAAGAAATGCAATGAAAAACGCCAATACGGTTAAAGATAGGTTGAGGTTATCATGACGTCGCGGAGGATATTAATGACGTCGGTCCTACACAAAACATAATCAAGAGTGTTTGATCCAAAATCTTTAATCTCAGTCTAAAACCTTCATTTATAAGTTTGTTGTCATCTTTAGATCATCTGACAAGGAACACAAAGTGTGTAATTATATGCTACATGATATAATTGGATTCTTAGTATTGCGTGAAATTAAAATACAATCCCCATCTTCGCCTATAATTTGGTAAATTCGTGCTTGCTGACATTCCAGTTTATATTTCAAACGCAATTCATCAGATTAGGAAAAATATATATTTTGAATTAATATTCAAATAAACACTCCATTTTTCGGAAAACCAATATCCCATTTGACAATATAAGGCCATCTGACATCATCTTCATAAATCACATAATGCAATGGCTCTTTTATGTCCAACAATTTGAAAGATGTGCAAAGAGAGATCCAATCTCAAGAGAGCTTTACATGCATCATCTACCTCTCTCATGCACCCCACAACTCAGAATCAATTTCATTCCTTGCAGACTTGAATAACTCAAGCCGTCTGGCGCACTGCTGCCTTCTATCCACGAGTACCGGATCTTCGTTCAGTAACTGAGCAAGCTGCCGACCCTGTAGAAAAAATGTGAAAACAAGTCGTCATTGGCAGCAGTTACTTACTGAAATTAGTAGATGAACACTTGAAGGTTGTGCATCAATGGTATAGATAGGTCAAGATCTTCAATTTGGTCCAAGATTAGGTCTAACAAGTTTTGACAAGAATATCTTTTGAAAATAATAGTAAGTGGTTCAAATGAATACCTCTTTTTTTCCCAGTTGTGTATAGAAGTGATCAAGCAAAGACCGCTTAGCCTCCTGAACTTGACAATAAACCACAGCCTTTGGAATGGTATTCCTGAGGGTCTCGGAAACCATCCCAATGTAAGAGGCAACGTTTGAACCTATCCTCCGGTAGTGGCCCTCTGTGTAGCGGTCCACAGTGGTGGCAGCAGGATTTCCTCCCTTCTCCACTTCCAGGGAGAGTTTTCGGAAGAAATCCACAGTCAAGTATGAGGATTCCATATCCACCATTCGCAACACTGTCTTCTTGCTGTCATCACGGAACCTCTCTAATGCTTCAGTTGCAGCTGCGGCTATGTCAGCTTGAAGAAGGGGAAAGCGTTTTAACTCCTACGTTCCAAAATAAAAGTTTACACACCAGATCCTTACTTACACCACAGAAGAAAAGTGCAAGATCTCAAACCTGTGTTTCTCCAATCGACTTTCTCATCAGCTCCTTTAAAATGAAGTGGACCTACAATAACGATTAATGGTATTCAGCTATCCTTTACAAGTTCAATGACTTTTAACTTCAAAATTCATGGAGTCATTTTTTGTTAGTATTCTACCATTGAATTATTAATCTATATGTTTCCAGAAGCCGTTTTAGTCATAATCTTTGTCGCTGCACTCACTTGAATATAGTATACGTACATTTTGATTCTTATATTCATTTCAATGCTTCCAATTTCTTTGGTCCCAAGGCATCCCATTCTAGAGAAGCCTCCATTCTTACACCAAATGATTCATATTGAATCAATTCTCCCTAGATTGCACTCCCAAAGACAGGAGACATCATTGAGCATACAAGCAGGCTAGAAACAGTCACCATGATAGCCAAAAGGAGATACAATGATAGATAAAAAGCACTTACTGCATCCACTGAAGCCTCAGCAGGGCCTCTAAAATAATTAAGGGAACTGTCAATGAGGCGTCGGTAACCTTGTTCAGGCGCAATCAGATGAGGCTGGTAACCATCTGCCTCTGAAACAACTCTTCTTACATTCTGCAGTGAAAGATGACGATCAAATGGAAGCTTCCTCAGAGCAGCAGGGAACTGGTGGTCAAAAACTCCATAAATCCTATCTCCACCTGACCGCCTGAGAATGAAAGGAGGATACAAACAAGAAAAATTAAGGGCATTATCACATAATTTTTTATATGTAATAGCTGTACTTTTAGCAGATACCACCACCAAGTGAGCCCTAGTTGATCTAAGGTTTTTGCATTAGTGGTCAAAATTTATGGAATCACCCGTAATAAGATCTTATATGGTCCATATGGAGGAGAATGCTAAAACAATAAAAAAAAAGAAAGGCATGGTTGCTACGCTTCAGCATTCAGCAATTAATTTCATTTGCTTCCAAAAAGCAGATGGCAGAAAAGAAAATTAAAAAAAAAATGAATATTTAAAATATGGTAATGACTTTGTTTTTCCTTTTTTTCTTTTTCTTTTTATATGGTTGACTGCCAAAAATTGGAGAAGATGACATGAAGCACAATATATTACCCTCCATCAAGGTGCTCTTTAAAAATCCGGTCAAAAGCACGGCAGAGCTCCAAGATAGTGTATAACTGGGCCTGTAAACAAAAGCAGAAAACCTCCATTAGAGATTCATAACTCATACCAGAATATACGCTTGCATAAAAAGAAAGAACAGATATAAGCTACTCACTCCTGCATCAACAGTGACAGGTCTACCAAGGTGGTCCAACTCGGCTTCAAGTTCATCGATGCTTGTATTAATCAAAGATATAATACTTGGTATGCGAGCTTTAATTAGAGATTCTAGATGCTGAAGCCAAAACATTGCACATTAGTAACCAGTCATTCTGTATACTATTCAGAGAAAAATAGAATTTTTTATGATAATTTAAAATGCAAATAAGTAGGATGGAAAAGTATACCTTTGAGAGGAGCTTCGCTAGATACTCCGAACCCATTCTGCTGGCCAAGTGTCCATAGTCAGGACTTGTGGCGAAAAATTCACGCTCTTTACGCCGTGCAGCAATCATGTCAACATTTTTATTTATATCAGCCTGTGAACGATTCACAATTCCAACCCAAGGATGTTGCAGCCTATATGATCTTCCTTCAAGAACCTTTAGTATATCAAAAATCAATATTAAGAGACAAAGATTGAGAGTCAAAACATTCAGCATATTTTTGTTGTTGACATTAAATATTTTGAACTAGTAATTTCTGTAATGCTTACTCCAATAAGGTTTAAGAAGAATGAAGCAAAAGAAAGCACAATACAAAAAGTAAAAAAAGAGATAATGCACCAAAGAGGAAACAACAAATTCAATACAACGTACAACAATAAGTGAATCACAAACATAAAATAGGCCTCGTGAGTGCCAAGATATCTTCTAGCCAGAATTAATTACAGATATTCATTCATAACAGTCGTATCAGTGAAAACTGTGCTATGAACAATGTCCCCTACAGTTGATTCTAAGGGGACATCATGAGAGTTTTTGACACTTTGGAAATAAGAAGTACCCCATTGGGTGTCCAAGCTCTACTACATAATTTTTGTAAGTCAAGTCTTTTCTTACTGCACATACAGAATCCCTTAGGAAGAAAATTACATCTAAATTATTTTTTCTAATGTGGTTTACGTGAGACTAGTTAAGAATTTAAAAGCTATAAGCAACTTTAACTGCAAAGACAATACTACCCTTATCGAAAATAAAGACAGAGGCAGCTTCATTATCTCCGTTGCCTAGGGCTAATTATCAATGACCATGAGTACTTTAACCATCATCAGTCTTCAACAACCATCAGCACTCAGATTTTACTCACCACCACCCCAGCCTTCCATGTGCCGTTATCTTTTCCATCATTAGCTATTCATCACCCTCATTCTCATGTAAGCACAACACGTATTGCCATATTCCACACCACCACCTTTAACAAGTAACAACCAAACCACCATCTCCAACCAAACCCTCACCATCAATTGCAGTCAAATGCACAGTTACCTTCAACAATAGAAGTGGAACAATTTTTTTTTCCTTAAAAAAAAAAAAAATGGGTGCACATGCATCACCCTTATGGGTGATGGACCCTTGATTCCCACCTGCTATAAAAAATCATTTTTATCTCTCCATGTATGGGTGCATTGGGGACAGGTATTTTGACCTCTAGAGCTCCAAGGAACTTCTACTTTTTCGAACAGGAAAAAATGTTTTGATTTCAGTGAACTATTATGAAATAAACTGCAAGTTGCCAGAACATTTTTTTTTCAAATCTCTATGTGTGTCTTAACAGCTCCTTAAGTAATTCTCTTCCAATGAGAACTTCACGATTAAATGCTCCAGTGGTAATATCTTCCAAAGACAATGTATTAGTAGAGGGAAAATATAGGTTTCATCATCTATATTTTACTCTTTCCATGCACAAACAGCAACTTGTGAGCCTCCAGTTAAAATAAAGTTGGTCACAAAGATGAATGATCTATTCAAGTTAATCTTCAGTCGAATCCCTTAATAGATAAACAAAGGCCATTTTCTTTGACTTTAAAATGAAACTCAAATAATCAAGTTCAATAACCTCCAAGAAAAACGGCCGTTTTCTTTGGTAACAAAGTAAACCCTTCCCTTCAGCCTTGTAGGATTCACCTATTCGTTGGTGGGATCTTTTCAGGTTTGGGTTCCCCTTGCTTCTAGAGGGCTTATATTGTGTTCAAGTCTTTCAGTTACTTTTGAAGCAAGCCAAGAAAAATGCATCGGGGGGGGGGGGGGGGGGCGGGGGGCCGCTCTCTGAGCAGATAAAGATCACTCCCCTTTTATATTCCAGTTTCAGTTTCAGCAATTCTCAGCAAAACCTGCCACAGAAGGTAAGAAGACTTACATCCAAAGCATTTGTTCCCTTGTCCATCAAATCAAGCTTAGTCAGCACACCGAATGTCCTTTCACCTAGCCAATAAACATTTGATCTCAATTATAAAGTAAATGAACCAAAATAGTGATGACAATGCTGTTAATTAGAAACAATGAGCAGAAAGTACCTATTGGGTCAACGTCTCGAGCAAGCTTGATAGCATCAGATGTTGCGATATCTTGATTCGCTGGAGTTATGGCTAGAATGATGCAATTAGGCTACAATACAAGAGCAAGATAAAAAATAATAAGAAGAAATCATTTCTAAAGCCCAACAAATTGCCGGTGAAATTAATTCTATTCGAAGAATGGTAGAAGAATCAAACCAGTAAGGCACGTGCAAAAGAAAATTAGCTATTACAATTTCTATATCTATTAGCCATTTGTTTCAGAATTAAAGATGCTACAAAATAAATGCCATCAAAAAAAATTTCTATTCCAAATAGAAGCCATTAAGTCAATTTCATGAAGTAGCTTGAGCATTGCTTGCCAAAAGGAAACTTGAACTTTGGTTAAAAGCATCTTTTTTCTCCAAAGAAAAAGAAAAGTAAAAAATAAACAAATTGTCAATGTCATACTCCTCAGTCCTCTTGCAATGAAATCTTCTTTAGTTTCTCTCTTGTACTAATTTTTTTTTTATAGGCTTCTTCCCATTTTATGAATTGGAAAGATAAAGAATATATATACATAACCTATGAGTCATGGTTTTGCCTAAAAAAATAATGTCCACAGTGAAATACTTTTTTGTATCTATAACTATACGTTAAACATGTTGTCATACCTTTTCCACACAAGAGCGAACCATGTTTTCAATATCTTGAGCGATACTCTCTGGCTGTCCCTCTGTCAACAACCAGCATCTCTAGTTACAATTTGGAGGAGAAGAAATAATAAATCTTGTAACATGGGCATGTAAAACATAAGTAGAAAAGGAGGGAAATATACCTACAGCAACCTTAGTTAGACCAGGTAAATCTATCAATGTCAAATTAACAACTGCCAAGTGAAATGAACAATGAAAAGTTGTCAGATAAAAACAATTTATGAATAAAAATCATTATAACACACTAACCACTTAGTGTAAAATTCCTTGATCATATTAAATGTTATACCAATGCATAAGAACTGGGTTATTTTTTTTTGGGAATTACTAGTAAATGTACAATGTTGGATGCAGTACACACCACAGTATGTAATTATTAAAAATGCCATCTTGGTCTCTAGTTCTAGTCTCTTGACATCAGTGCACCGCTGCTTTTTGATGAATAGTTTTCAAAAGAATGAAACAGAATTTTAAAAGCATGATACTAAATTTAAATTAGAGAAAAAAACAGTAGTAAAAAAATAAACACATAAAGAACACTCAGCGTGGGAGACAGGTGGAAAGAAGAAAAATAATGTTAGCATCTAATTCATAATATAGGATTCTGTCGCCATAGATGCTGTATTACAAAGTACAAACTACTGCTGCAGCCTTTAGCTAAAAAAGTTAATAAAAATTACAGTCACCTTCTGTTCAGTAAATTTTGAACTGTGAAAAGGAGTGGATGATTACACACCGTTTGGAGAGTAGATACTGAGATTAATAGGAAGTGGAGAAATCTGTTTTTTCCTCCCAGTCACTCTGTCAGTTTCTTCCTGAATTTCTGCCCGTACCGTAGCTGAATAAGAAATTCATAGAAAATAAATAAATAAATTCCAAGTGCATTTCTTCAAAATAGAACAAGCAAATAAGTACCATGTGCAAGTAGTGTGAATACTCCTTCCTTTCCCGGGCGACCACATAAGATGGCAAAATTATAGTCACATCAAAACATCTTAACCCATGCTTTTATCCAACCCTCATTACCCTCAATGATGGTTTCCAAATACATTTTAACTAGAGGAACATACTCAACAACTATGATACTCAAAATTTCCATCAATTCACCCTCATAATAATTCCTCCAAGCGCCTCACCTCGAGGAACTGCTGTGTAGTGAAACTGCAATCTCTCTTTCTTACTTTTTTGGACCAGACTAGGCTTCCAATCCTTCTCTAGGCTTCATTGTATTGTGAAGTTTCCTCCACATATCTAATAGGTTGAACCCACAATATTTCTTGTTATTTGACTTACTTCATGATCCATTGATATTTTCATAATTGATTGTTATGTAGAATACCATACAGAGTCATAATTCCTTTCATCCTGTGAATAGCAGTAACTGAAAGACTAACTCCCATATCCATTAAGATATCCATAATGTGATACATCCTAGAGTCTCTAGTAGTACTAGTATCTTATATACCTGAACATCTTTTTTCTTTGCATGGCCATCCCACATTCTATAATAAAGTGCAGTATTAATTACCTCTTTTAGGTACAGAATACTTCTTTGGCTGGGTACTCTTATGAATTTGAAACAACCAATTTCTAATTCCTTAACATAATTATAGTGTATGGGTTGTATGGCCATGTCAACATGGCATGCATCAAACACACCAGGGTTCAACAACCAACCCTAGACCTTGCAATTGGAATATGATTGTTCTCATTTCAAATACAATATGGTTTTTCATAGTGACTTTGTGTAAGTTCTCTTAGCATCCATAACTTAATGATGCAAACAAGACCAACAAGGGTTGCTACTAACCAAGAAAATTTGAAGTTGAAGGGAGGATAGTCAATGAACCAGTCAAGTAAAGGATACACAATCACTTAATGCTGCTACATTCAAATACTTTAAGCAAACAAGCCAAGCGTTTGTTAAAAGAAGAAACCAAATCATGGGAATTGGGAACTTGCAAAGATTAATTTGTAAGGATACACATTTCCTTGTAGCATCATTCCATTATAATCATACAAATTACAAAATACAAAGGGAAAGTCATGATGGTGACCATAGTTATTAAAGGCCCACGGCACTAGAGGTACTTTGGAGCCTAGGCGTAAGGCGCACGCCTGAGTGAAGTGAGGCGCACAATTGAAAATTTAAACTACCATAATAATATTCATATCTCATAAGTCATATCAATATTCTAAAAATTAATATCAAATATAAAAAAGTAAATCCATCAACTATACAAGCTTGAAGCATCCAACAACCATAAAATAGAGTACAAATTTGTTTTCTTGAAAGGCAAAGCAAAATGTGTTTTTTGAATGGCAAAACAAAGCACAAAAAGAAATAAATATGTTAAAAAAAAAAAAAAAAAAAGAAAGAAAGAAAAAAAGAGCAAAAAAAAAAAAAAAGACAGAGAGATGAGAGAACTAGATGAAGAGAGAGATGTAAACAAAGATAAGAAGAGAGGAGAGATCTAGAGGAAAAAAAAAAAGAAGAAGAAGAAAAAACTGACGTGCTTCGTCGTTCATCTTTGCAACTAGGGCTTCGTTTTCGTCTCACAATCTCATTCTATCGTTATTCGGTTAACACTTTGACTCTTGGGCTTTCTTATTTTTTTATTCTTTTGAACAAAAGTTCCTTATATCGTATGATTGAGCTTTCTTTTTTGTTTATTAAGTTGCAAAAAGTACCCCTTTTGGCTTAAGAAATAGAACAATCGTATTTTTTTAAACAAATATCAGTGAGGCGCGCCTCACAAACAGGACGAGGCGCAACCGAGGCGTAGGCCTAGTAAACACAAGTGAGCCTGGGATGACAACAGGCGTTAAACCTGAGCTTCTAGCCTAGGCGCACCTTTAACAACGTTGATGGTGACATCAAAACTTGCACCTCTATGAGGAGAACAATAATAGGAACTAAAACAACATTTTTTTTTTTTATAAGTAATAGGAACTACAACAACTTTTACCAGTACTACTTCAGGTGATGGTAATAATAGTGGACAACAAATGGTGCTACTAACAGTATTACTACTACCACCATCTCAACAACCACTAAACATACTTGTGATTGTGATAAAATCATATTGTTAAAGTTTTAATTGTAGAAGCAACAGTCACAACTAAACTAAAAAAAGCAAGTCAAATTATTAGTCAATAGTTTTTAATAAATAAATCATACAGTAAAACTTTTTAAATTATCAAAGCTCTGAATCCTCGAAGAACTCAAAGTAAAATTGACAGTTTGACACCTTAGTGATCAAAAGTGTGCTTGTAATTATTCAGCAATACTAGTCAAAAAAATAAGCAAGTCAACAACTATTGCAAACACTTTCACACCCAAAACAGGAGACAAACAATTCCCTTAAATAGAAATCAGTAACGAATAATTTTAATGCAAAATATTGGAATAACAAACTCTCTAGCATTTTCAATAAAATATTAATCAGAGATTTACAAAATTTGCATAAGAAACAACATACAGAAGTCTGTAAATCTTCTATTTCCTGAGTGAGAAAATTGTGCATACTCCTGTTGTCCCTGGTCCGTCTTGTACAATTGCAATACTAGAGGCCTTCTTGTCACGATCCCTACAAGTATCAAAATAATAGAAAAATCAAGCAACATATTGCTCCATCTGGAAATGAAGTCGTACATATACATATATATATATATAGATATATATACATAAAGCAAAAGGCTAAAGGGAAAGGGGAAAAAACAGTTGTTTTAAACTTTTATGCTTTTTCTGAAACATTAATGTAATTTAGACAATTAAACAAAAATGAGACATCATCATTGTAGCTGAGAAAAGGGGGGGAAATAAAATAATTTAAAATCTCAAGTCTTCTGATTTCTATCACAAAAGGAGGAATATTCAACTGAAAGGCAACATATAGCCACATCAATGTGTGATAGGCCCTAATAATAACAATTCCATCTCCTGATACAAAACTTTGATCACTTTCTTTCCTTATACTTTCTAATCAACCACAAAACCCTGTTCAGTTAAAATTATATGAGTTTCCACACAACAACAAAAGAACCCCGAAACCTACACTTTCTAACTTCAGATTCTTCCCTTTTTATATATTTTCTCAGCAACCAAACAAATCATTATGAAAATCATAAACAAAAACAGAATGAATACATAATTATCATTAAAAAAAACTCCGTAACCTGATCCCCTGGGTAGAAAATCACGCCCAACAAAGCTCTCCAGCACCGAAGACTTGCCAGAACTCTACACACCACATCACAAAACACATACCACAAATCAAACCTCACTCAGATACAGACAATGCAGAGAATGTGTATACACACAGATATATATATAACAACAGAAATCTATATATGTAGAGAGAGAACCTGTCCTCCGACGACGACGATAGTCGGAAGAGCGTCCCAGAGAGTCGGCAGAGAGTAGTCTCCGCCGTAGTCGCCGAGGACCGTACAGGCCCTCTGAATCCGATTCATCAGCCCTAGTACGCTCTCCATTTCTGACTCACAAACCCTAGATCGACGCCTGAACCAAGCGGTAACTGAAGCAGTGATGATGATATATACAGATATATGTATACATATATGGAAGTAGTAGTAGAAGAGGCTTGGGAGAGCGAAGGTAGCTATTTTTTTTTTATGTTATTTTTTGACTTGGTTAGGACTTTGCGTTTGAGACGGTTGTGCTGTGGTTGGGTGTGTGTTGGAGGGGGATATAATGCGCCACGTGCACACATTCTATTGCTATTGTGGGCCTGGGGTATGTGGAATATTTTTTAAATTTTATTTTTGGCGGGCTGTTTTTGGTATGTGGTGAGGTTTGTCTGCAAGCTGTATCTTTTGGTTTGGTGCAACTGGTTAGGTGTCAATTGGGAATTTAGGACTAAGGTCTATGGGTTCGTCTAAATACTTCGAGTTATGGTCCAATATAAATCAATTATGATACACTCGTTATGATACACAAGTAGATATTAGGTGAGTTGAGCAAATCCTTTTAATGGAAATATATTATATCAATTTATTGATATCTCTAATTGTTTTTTTCAAATTCGTTCAGTAGGACCCACTTAATGAATGATTAACAACTATAAAATCCTAGAAATACTGTACCCTCAAGTTATTGTAAAATTTCTTGAATAACGTGGACCCTACCACATTGCATTGCATTCACAGGGCTCACTATACACAGGTCATGGAGTCTGGATTATTTAATTTGAAATGAAATCATGTTAATGTGTTTCTAAATATATTAGAATTAATTATTAAAAAAAATTGTTACTTTTACTATTTTATCCCACATTATGTTTCAATTAGATAAATTACAAACTCTTTACTAAAGTAATTTACAACTCCCATCAAATTTCATTAATTTTCATGGGATTTTAGTATGTAATGTGGGATTTCAAATCTTAGAAATCTAATTGTTTTTAAATTTCATTTATTTCAAACACTCAAAATTCAATTTTGAATTTTAAATCCCACCAAATTCTCACAATTCCAAACACAGTTTTCTATCAATTATTGCTAAGTCAAAGCTAAGGTTAATTAACAATGGACATGTAAATATAGCTTTTTATTGAACTGTGAAAAGTTTATGAAAATACCTAAATGCCCTCCATTGTTAATTACAAAGAAAATGGAGCATATTCCAGTATGCCAAGATAGAGAAAGATGAATTAGGGTTTCTTTTAATGGTTAATTTCTTAGGGTTTCGAGAAGACGATCATTTCTAATATGGTTGCGAACCCATAATCCTCACAAGCCCCAACTTGATGCCCTAATTTAATGCTTGTACTGATTTCAATCAAAGGCAATAGAGCTTATAAATTCCTATTGATTTCTGCAGTATTCAGCTTCCGATTTGCACAATTGTAGAGAGAATTTTAGACATAGAAAATCACTACATTTCCATAAATTTCAAAGAAGCTACATACCCATCTCAACCTAAACATCAGAGAGTAGAAAGGGAAAAAAAAAAAAAACACACACACACACACAAACACGAACAGATCAAGCTCTCTCTCCTCTGATCCTCCTAGCGAGCTGCATATCTTTGGGCATAATAGTGACTCTCTTGGCGTGAATGGCGCACAAATTAGTGTCCTCGAACAGTCCCACCAGATACGCCTCCGCCGCCTCCTGCAACGCCGAGACGGCGCTGCTCTGGAACCTGAGGTCGGTCTTGAAGTCCTGAGCTATCTCACGGACGAGTCGCTGGAAGGGGAGCTTTCGGATCAAGAGCTCCGTGCTCTTCTGGTACTTCCTGATCTCTCGCAGAGCCACTGTCCCTGGCCTGAAGCGGTGGGGCTTCTTCACGCCGCCGGTGGCTGGGGCCGACTTCCGGGCGGCCTTGGTGGCCAGTTGCTTCCTCGGGGCCTTGCCTCCGGTGGATTTTCTAGCGGTTTGCTTTGTTCGAGCCATTGCTTTAACAAGACAAACAATTTAGAGAGAAAAATAAAAATATAGAGAGAGAGAGGAGGTGTGATTTTGGGAGGAAGATTTGTGGGTTTATTTATAGGGATCAAATTTGGTGGATTTGAAAATTTGAATATTTTTTCGTGTTTTGGCGGGGTGGTGTACGAGGTGAATTTTTGGGCGTCCGATTGTTGTTAAACTGAGCGGTGGAGATTCGTTTCTGGGGTTCCCCTTTCGGATCGCCACCGTGGCAAATTTTTTATTTATTTACGAAAGCGGATCGCCACCGTGGCAAATTTTTTATTTATTTACGTAGTACTTTTTGCTGTAGATTACTTGGTACCGTTTTCGTGAAACACTTCTGAAAAAATAAAAATAAAAAATTAGAAAAATAAAATACTATGACCTTGGTCACACATTAGATGTTACCTGGGTAGTTATTACAAAAGGAAATTTATCTTACATCGGATCCGAACGAAGAGTGATTGGATATAAATGGACAACCTTGGTCTCACATTAAATGTTATGTAGGTAATTGTTACAAGAGAAGATTTGTCCCACATCGGATCCGAATGAAAGTAATTGAGTATAAATAGGTGAGTGTGCAGTACTACTCAATAGTTTAAATTTATTATAATAAGTCAAAGTTTATGGGATAGAGGGAGTGCATCACTACTTCACTAGTGATAATTTAAGAAATGGCATGTAATTGAATGGTCTCCCCATTATCAAATAGGAGAGAAGCGTTTTTTCAAAAATGAATTTCCCGAGTAATTTAAAACTAATTCTTAAGAAACTAGACAAAATAAGTATGCTTTGAAAACAAAGACTTGCTTTCAGAAAAATTGTCTTTAAAAATATTTATATTTTCAGAAATTTTGGAAAAATATTTTTAAATAAAGCGAGTTTTCAAAGTGGACACATCTAGTATATATTCCCTAGAGAATAATTTTGTATTTTTGAGTCATCTACCTATCTTAATAAATTTTATTACTTTAGTTTGGTTCAGTTTTGTAAAGGCAATTTCATGAACTATGGAATTCGATCAAATTTAGTAAAGAAAATTATTAATTATTATAATAATCATTATAATAACATACTATATTTATATATATATATACACACACATACATAAATATTATTTGTTATGAATTAGAGAGGAAAAAATAATCATTCACTCGACAACTCTTCTTTTTAATTTTCTTTGCATATTATTTATAGACAGGCTTTTAACAATATACATTAAAATGCACAAAAAAAAAAAATACAATGATTTTATATTATTTTCAAATTTAAATGTTACATTACTAATTTGGCCCCAAATAATAATTAAATCAGAAATATTATAAAAGAGTTAAATTCGATTTTTATGAAATACGTAAAACTACTTTGAATTATTTCGTCAACACAATAAACCTGTTTACATTGTCCTTATATATCCATTGTTTTCATTTTTGTATTTCATTACTTTTTTATTTTTCTGATCGATAAAACTCAATTATCCAGATTACACCCTTCCTCCCTCTCCATTCGGAATAAAATAACCAACCTTTTTCTTATTTCTCTCATTGATACAGCAAAAGTTGTGTAGTAAGAGCATTTACAACCCACCTGTCATATGGGTTGCCAATTCAAAATATAACAGATGGGTTAAAATTTTGGTCTCCAATGGCCTGTTATATTACCTATCAAAAATTGGTTTTGTCATTTTTGGTGTCAAATCTAGCACAAGAAATAGTTACTGTTATTTCAAAGGGGGGAGGGAAGGGGGGGGGGGGGGGGATATGGGTTTTGATTTTTTTAACAATCTGAAATGATATGCCGATATGGGTTCAGATTTATATATATATATATATCTACATATATTTAAAAGAGATCGTAAAGAATTTCACCAAATAGGATTTAGTTTGCAAAACTAGAATTACAGACCTTGATTAGTTAATTTAGAAAAAAAAAATTAAAACAAAACCCATACGTACAAGTTAGCAGTTGCAGAGAGAGGGGGGGGGGGGGCAAGCTTGAGAGTTGAAAGACAGCGGCTGAAGCTTGCGAACAGCGAACCCGAACTGGAACAGCGGGCAATGAAAGATATGGGTTTTGAACTTCTAATTCTTATTGATTTTGTAGTTTGCAATTGCTCAGAGAGAGGGGCAATTTCATAATAGAGATGGAGGCGATTGGGAAGGTTGAAATGATTTGCCCTAAAACTATATATGGTGATTTGGGAGGCTGAAATGATTTGCCCTAAATATATATATATATATATTTTTTAATAATAATATAATCAAATATATAATAAATATATATATATATATAATTTATATAATAATATAATCAAATATATAAATTTATACATACATACATATATATATATATATATATATATTGGTCCTTTTTTGACCAGATATTTTAGATTTTTTATTCTTTTTAATTAAGTTTAATTTTAGTTTCCTTTTAATATTTACAACTTGACTTGGAATGTGCCTAATATTAATATTACTGATGCAAATGTGAATGGTGGGAATGGTAGTTGAAAAAGAATAGTGGTTGTGTCAAAAAATAACATTTTGCATAAAATATATCATTGGAGCAGAATTGCTAAAATGTAATATTTTGACACTGTAACACTATCAAAATATAGATTTGGCATTCAATTTAGCATTTTACCGTTGGAGATGCTAACTTGTAGGAATGCAATGCTAGAATTGACATTTTTTTTTCCACTTCTAAGCTCTATTACTTATCGACTCCTTATATTGGCGTCTTGTCTTGTCTTTGATGAACGGTTAAGATGCACTGCAATCTGTAACTAAGATCTATTCTTTAAAACTTTTCATCCATTTATATATACATCGTTTTTATTACAAAATGCACTCCACAATTCTATACTTTAGATATTAAAGACTTTATAAACCAACCCTCCAAATATGATCTAACAATCTAGATTTTTAAAATCTCTATTACAACACTCTATAATTCGCTTCATAGAGGTGAAATCAATTTTGACATATGTTGTATATTTGCATTGCAGGCTTAAATTTATCTCTGGTGTCAACCAAACTACTTTTTGTACTATTTTTTATTTTTAAGTTTTACTAAATAATCTCTCAAAATACTTTTTGTATTATTTTCTATTTTTAAGTTTTACTAACTAATCTCTCAAAACATTAAACCAATCCGGAGTAATTATTGTATTTCCCTCCAAGGCCTAACTTTTCTCTCATTATTAGAGCATTCACACCGGTCTTTCCGGAGTTTGGCTATCTAAAAATGTCACTTTAGCTTTTTCAATAGTCACATCAGCAATTCCAAGAGCCACGTCAGCAACTCCGGATTTTCGCTCTCCAAAAATATATATATTATTATTATAATTATTATTTAAACTTTTTCCGAACGGCTATATTTTTTATCTTATATAATGAACACTTACTATATGGATTAAAAAATAGGATTAATGTTATAACTTTAGACATTACATTATTCATTATATGGATTAAAAAATTTACCACTAATATTATAACTTTAAACAATACATTATCCATTATATAGATTAAAAAATTTAGGATTAATATTACACAACTTCAAATGACACATCATCCAATATATGGATTAAAAGTTAGGATTGATGTATGCTTCACGATATGCCAACAACTTTCTAACTCAAATTCAGCACCTGTTTGACTACGAAACATCTCTTTAGCTCTGTCATCTATACAAAAAAAAAATTAAGAAAAAATTAAAAACTAAATATTTAAAATAGGGTTAATTACAATGACATCCCCTGAGATTTGCCATATTGATAGCCACATACAATTTAGCTCTTTTTTGGACAAAGACACCCCAGGTTTGCAAACTTGAACAATGACACCTCATTTTTTAAAAACGGAGCCAAACACAGCCTCTAATGACATGAAATGTCTAATATGCCCTAAGATATATTTTAATCCTCACTTAAAATGACCAAACTACCCTCTTATCTCTCTCTTTCATTCGTATACACAACTTTACTCTCATATCTCTCTCTTTCAACAGCTCTCAAACCCATAAGATAAAATTGTCTCTCGTCGTTTGAATAGCGACTATGGATAACGTGTGCTCGTCGGTAAGAGACAATGCAGCTCTGTTCATTCCTCTTCACCGGCGTTTAGTTCAGACCCACTTCTCGTAGCTAAGAACAGACCCTCATCGCACATCTTTGCATCGCCAGTAAGAACAGTCCAGTCAGAATCCTTGGTCGCCGTCGTCCTCGTCACAGCTATTGTGGTCGCCGTCGTCCATGTCGTGCAGTCCTTTTTGCTCTCTGATTCTGTTAAAAAATTAAGTTCTCTATTGCCATCGATTTCGCCGGTCTCGAGGCAACATGGCCTTCAACTGTGGCCACTATTCCGATTCGGTCCTCCATTAACGCCATATCCCATAGTCGCCGAAAAATTTTTATTGGCCTTCGCGTTTTCAATCCTTGCTTGTTCGGCATGTCTCTCGCCGTTTGGGATGAACTCAGCCTTGGCTATGGAGAGCTCAGCCAGTGGAGAGTTTGACTGTGGATGGCTCGGTCGTGAAGGACTCGCGGCGGCTTACAAACCCACCATCCATCTTATCTCTGCCATGAACCGTTCTTGTCACCACCGCCTGTCGGTGCAGCGCCGCAAGCCCACTGCGATTTAACCACATCTGAGCACTATCGATGTTCATCCACAACCCATCTTGCCCGCTATTCTGTCAATCGTCGTCGTGCACAAGCCACCATCCCTCGCCAATTCATTCTGCTGGTCTGTCCAGCCAAGCTCGTAGCAAAGGGGGAGCTCGGCGATGTGGATTTCTGTGATGAGTTCGGCTGTGGAATGTGGACTAAACTCAGCCGCGATGGGGTGGGCAGAGAGCTTCGGAACGGCTGTCAGCGAGTAAGGGGAAGCTCGGATGAGATAGGCAACTGGTTGTAGAGAGCACGGACGGTGGGCAAAGCATTGTATGCATGTATATATGTATATATAGATATATGTGTGTAATTTTGAGGTTTTGGGTTTGTGTGATAGTGGTGGAATGGGGAAGAAGATGGTGGTTGTGGAGGTGGTGCCAGTATGTAGTAGTTGTGTATATTGGCCCACACAGGGAATGAATGGGAAGATGAAAAATTGGAAGAAGAAAGGATTTTTTAGATGAGGGTAATTTGGTCATTTTACATGGTCAAAGGGTAAACATGTACTTTCATTATGTTTGGGGTGTCATTGTTCAAGTTTGCATACTTAGGAGTGTCTTTGTCTAAAAAAGGGTTAAGTTGAATATGACTGTCAATATGGCAAACCTCAGGGGGTGTCGTTGTAAATAACCCTTTAAAATATTTACGAGTTATATTTAAAACAATAAATAACTCACCATGTCATCAGTGCTAAAGCCACGATTCATTTCGATGCTAGTCATGCACCCAGAAAATTTGCTGATTTGTTTTCGGATGGTGGACCAACGATTCATCAAAGGTACTGCATTTCGCAAAGATGAAATACCAAGATGTTGTACATAACTTTCAAGGATTCGCTCCCATAATTTTTTCTTACTTTGATCTACCTCCATATTTGCATTGGAGGTAATGGACATCCATGCCCAATATAAAGCCTCGTTTTCGGTCGTAGACCAATTTCAATTTCGGATAATCAGTTGTTGTGTAAAAGGTTGGGAGTTACTTGATCGATGGTCCAAGGAATCGGATTGAGTTTGAAAATACTAATAGCTAAGATTGAGAAAATAAAAGATAAAATTGTTGGAATGGTAGAGAATAAAGATGGGTTAGATATGATGCATGGTGGTAGGAGTTGGGGAATTTATAGAAGAAAAGTGAGTTTTTTATTTTTATTTTTTGAAAAAAGTTAAAAAAGAATAGATTTTTTTAATTTTTTTAAAATTATAATGGTTAAGGCACTATTTGTGTCAGCTAAACAGTGTCTTAACAACCAAATACACTGTTTGTGGTAGAAATTTAAAATTTAAAGCAAAAAATGTTTTTAAAAATCAATTTTTAAGGAAAAAAAAAGGATTTTTTAATTTATTTTTGGCCCAAAAAAAAAAGGACAAACAGGGCCTAAACAATATTTTTTTTATTTAATAAATTTTATTTTATTTTAAAAAAATGAACTCAAAATAACCTATTTTTTAGTTTTTCCAAAAAAATCATGCTGCTAAACAGTGCCTTAAGGCACTGTTGCTGACCATTACAGCCTGGTATTTTTTATTTAAAAAAAAAAAAGGCTTTGCCCAAAATGAAAAATTAAAAACTCCGATCGGGCTCGGACTAAGGCTCGCGCTTTTCTGCTTACCAGCCCGCTAGTCGTTGTGGGCCCATTCTATTTTCACTAAGCCATTGGAGCGTAAATTAAGCCTTTTTGCTAGCCAAACCCACTGCAGGTGCTCTTATATCTATTTGTATCGGTCACTTTCTTCATTCCGTTCTCACGCCTGTTAACCTTAGACGTGAATATGATGATCACATATGTGACATGGCAATTGGTTTTACCTCTGAGATCTACCTAGGAGTTGACATATTGGTATCAATTTCAAAATAAAATAATTCGAATTTATACAAAATGTATGTAACCTCAACTCTCTCTCTCTGGACCGTTCCTTTTCCTTCTCTTTGCATAGTTTCATGGTTTCTATTGAGGGTTCTCTAATTGCAGAGGTTTCTCGATTTAGTTGGGTTTTGGTGTGCTTGATCTCGGGTTATGGTCGGTTGATTGCGGATCTCAGTTGTCTTAAGTGTTTTTATCTCTTGGGAGTGGAGTACGGGTGTGTTCTTGGTATCTGTTGTTGGCTTGTGGGTTTTCCAAGCGTCTTATCCTTGGAATTCTTGGTTTACTTTATATTGGTAGTTGTCATGATTCTGGATCCTCTTTATCGATCCATCTGTTCCTGATCCAGATTGGTTTGTAAGGGTGTATTGTTGGCGGTTTGTTGTGCTTGAGGCAAGTACAGATCAAGTAAGTTGGGTTTTGCTGAATCTCGGTTTGTTGCTTGTTGGCGGGTCAATCTGATTTGTTGCCTTTATTGTTCCAGTTTCTGTGCTTCCGTGGTTAGATTCAGAGTCTGCATCGCAAGCTCTACAGTGGCCGGCGGGTACTCCGCCATCGTCGGGTATTGTAGTTGGGCGCAAATTCCTAAATTTGGGCGAAGAGTCTAGGATTGGACGCCCTAGGGCTGTTCAAAAGGTGGGCCGGGGTTCTCATCCTTCTTGGGACTCTGCTACGAGCCCACTTTTGGATGAGGCTGATGTCTTTCGACATGGGCTGTTTCATAATGCGGATAGGCCTGAAGTATTAGATGACCCGATTCAACCGGATTATTTTGGGGTGCTATCCGTCAGATTAGAGAAGAGAGATATCCTATACCAACAACTGATTGGGGTGCCGACGTACAACAACCATCTCAAGTAGCAGTGCTAATCACGCTCGAGCACGAAGGTCTTCGGTTTAGCCTGCAGCTTCAATTGACAGGCCTATGAGAGGTGAATCAAGTTCTATTGGGCAAATAGGAAATACAAGAAACCGTATGGCTGACAAATTGAGTATTTTAGTTTGAAACTGTCAAGGTTTGGGGAATCCTTTGACAGTTCAACAGTTGAAGAAAATCTAGATGACCCATCGAATGAAGGGTTTCATACTAAATATTTAGGGATACCGGCGATAATTGGTCGATCGAAATTTGATGTCTTCCAATTTTTGCTTCATCGAATGAAGGAAAGTCTAGCCTCTTGGAGGCAACATACTCTATCAGAGAGGAAGGTAAGGACGTTTTGATTAAGGTAGTGTTGAATGCTTTTCCTACCTATATTATGTCTGTTTTTGAATGCTTTTCCTACCTATATTATGCCTGTTTTTCGATGTGTCTGGAGCTTATGAAGCAGGTGCGGACATTTTGGTGGACATTTAGGAGCAACTCAGTGCATTGGGCTTCCTGAAAATTTGCTATGCCAAAGTAAAAAGGATGGTGGATTAGGGTTTAGAGATATTGTAGCTTTTAACTCGGCTTTGTTGGCAAAGCATGCTTGGAATTTCCAAGTGTCTAAAAATGGTGTGGCATTTTAGTTGTTCAAAGCGAAATATTTTTCCTCATGTTCTTTTCTTGAAGCGCCTTTGGGATCAAATCCATCTTGGGCTTGGCGCAGTATTTGGTCATCTCAGGAGTTGCTTCGGAGTGGATTACGCTGGGTGGTGGGAGATGGGGCTTCTATCCATATTTGGAATGATAAATGGATCCCTGGTATTTCCATGCCATTAGGACCACAAGAGTCTGCGGATCGTTTTGCTAGGGTGGATAACTTATTGGATGGTAACTCCAGAGAGTAGAGAATGGACATTTTGAGGCACTTGTTTCATGCATCTGAGATTCATCATATCTCGCAAATTGTCTTACGTCATGGGTCCTTTCCGAATACCCAAATTTGGGAAGCTGAGTCTTTAGGAAAGTTTAGTGTTAAGTCAGCCTATAGTTTCGCTTTGATAATCTCTCAACCTTAGAAATCAGCGCGACCTGCTAAAGGGTGAATGCCAATTGAGTTCTTGTACGCGATAGCGTACATTGTGGAAACTTAAATTGCCTTCCGAAATTAAGCATTTTATTTGGAAATGTTGTTACGGGATAATCCCAATAGGGTTTGCTCTTGTTCATCGAGGTTGTTTGGAAAATCCGGTCTACCAGCGGTGTGGGATGGATGTGGAGGATGTTAACCATATTTTTTTTCCATTGTTCTTATTCGGTGCAGGTGTGGAAGTTGTTCCCCTTTCGTTGGGATTTTCTTGTAAACACCCCTTCCTCTTTTCTTGAATAGTGGGATGGAATTGTGGGTGTCTCAGAGCTTTCACAGGATGGGAAGTCTATTATGGTAGGTTTGGCTTCTTTTTGTCTGTGGGCGATTTGGAAGGCTTGGAATAAATTACTTTTTGAGAAGACTCATTGGAGCTCTTTGTCGGTTGCAAATTTGGCTTCGACTCGATTTTGGGAATTTGTTAATGTGCATAAAAAATTCCAACTGGTCATCCATCCCTCGTAGCGGACTGATGCCCCCTCAAGATGGATCCGTCCAGATCATGGAGTTGTTAAATGCAATGTTGATGCTTCTTTCTCCAAGCTTTCTCAGTTGGGAGGGGGGTGGTGCGGTGTTTCAGGATTTCTCAGGCTTCGTTATTCAAGCGTTAATTTTTAAACCTTTTGATTCCTCATCAGTGTTGGAGTCGGAGTCTTTTTGCTTTTGTCGGGCTATTTTTTGGGCCAAAGAATTTAAGTTTTCGGTGGTCTGCTTTAAGTCGAATTCTAAATGGGTGGTGGATGCTATTGATGGAGTTTGTTCTGGAGATGGCTCGATTGTGTCCTTTGTCTCTGAGATTAGAAGGGAGCTTCTATCTTTGTTTAGTTTTCCATTTCGTATGTTCGAAGTCAAGGAAATCGAGTGGCGAATGCTTTTGCTAGGCTATCACAGATTGGTATGACTACGGATTTGGTGCTCCAGTCTCTGCCGTTGTCGATTTTTAAGCTTATGGAGATGGATATTGCAACTACCGCTTCTTAGTGTTGTTATTGTTCTAGTGGGTTTGTGTTGCCAGGGAAAAAAAAACTGTGTTTAATAAACTTATTTCACCCTACTCGCATATGTCATCTCTCTCTCTCTCTCCGTTTATTGAACCCATTTCACTCTACTCGCACATGTCATGCAAGCACTTTTACAAACACACGAATGGCATAATTTAAAAGGAAAATTATAAAAAAAATTGGACTTTAAGAGGTTTTATTACCTAGACAGAGTCAAAGCCAACACTTTTTAAATTTATGAACTTTGACAAAAATGTGATGTCGATGTGGAAAAACATTATTTATTTGCTTAAACTAAGGGTGAACAAATAATCCGTGAATCTGATCTGATCCAATCTGTACGAATCAAATTGGATTGTTACACCCACGGATCGGTGGTGAATTCAAAAAAATTGAATCCATAGCTCACGAATTGGGCAGTTAAAAATCTTATCTGATCTGATTCGTGAGATATATATATATATATTCAAAAAATATATTAGTTAATTTAATTAGTTAATGATCATTCAGGGGACTCCAAGAATATATTAGTTAATAATTATATAAATATATAAATTTATGTTGATAAATTGAAATTTTATCTATTGGGTTATGATTAAAAAATAAATAATATTGAACTATTTAGGAAAAATCTTAATCTGCGGATTCGATCCAATTTAATCCGTTATTTCAAGAATCTGATGATTCGATTCGTTATCCCATGGATCGGTGGCGGATTCAAAATTTTACAATACGTTGGGAGCAGATCGGATTAGGTTTGATGCCTAATCCGATCCGATCGGTGGCCACCCCTAGCTCAAACTACCTTTAGTATCTTCGGGTACTACTTTTATGCATGTAAGTATTACTTTTGTACACAGATGTACCTTTTTTGTGCATATAAATACCACTTTTATGTAGGTGAATACCACTTTTGTACAGAGGTACCACGTTTGTGTTTGTAAGTGCCACTTTTGTACGCAAAGATATCACTTTTTGGGCAAAGCATTTTGCTTACTTAGTTCGCACAAAAATAGTACTTGGATGTACAAAAGTGGTACCTCTGTACATAAATTTAATACTTACGCCTACAAAAGATACTACGGTAGTTTGAGCAAATGAATAGTATTTTTCATATTCACATTAGATTTTAGTCAAAGTTCATGAATTTGAAAAGTGTCGACTTTGACTCCATCTCTAAGTAATAAAACCTCCCAAAGTCCACTCTTTTATAATTTTCCCTAATTTGAAATATTGTTAACTCTGTGCTGCAACTTGGAAATTAGTTTCTCAAACCAGAAAGAAATTCGCACCAAATACTTGATATCAATTGAACTTTGAAGATCATTGCTTAACATGAAATGCAAGGGAGTCAAAATCTTAATACACGTCAAACAAATTATGACAAATCTAACGAACACGACAATTACTCCTCCTCGGGTTCTTTCTACTGCCAAACTTCTTCCTTTTCTTGTGTTTGAACTTTGAAATAGAGGATTTGATGAGCGCTGAAAAGTGCGCACTTAAACCCCATAAGCTTGAGCATTCTACAACCTTTATCTATCTTATTTTACCGCCTTAGACTAATTTTGTATTATTTCCATTTTCAGGCACTTATTCCCAAAATAAGTTAAATCAGCCAAATAAGAACATAATTGAAGCAATCTTGAGATGAGTCAAAGAAATGAGCAAAATGGAAGCTAAATGAAGCAAAGTGTGGAAAATCAATAAGTTTGATTAATCTCAAAAATATTTTGATCGATCTGGAGTTCATCGCTCTAAGCACTTCAAGATGGATCCACGCCTTTTGTTCTTATCCAAAGATTCCACAAAGTTCGATTGATCCAACATTCTTCAGATCGATCGAAAAGATTCCATCTTATCCACACCTACCACCCACTTACCACTTTTGTCTTCTTCCCAAAAATATCCCAAAATATCTCAGAGATTTGTTTTTATTCAAAAAGGCGCCACAAAGGATGATCGATCTCAGCCAAGTTCGATCGATCGAACTGTACTTCCTCAAGTGCGAATTAAAGTGATTTACAGCTCATTAAAAGTTATCTCATAGGCCAATCATTGGAGGAGCCTTGGTGTACGAGCCCAGACCATTGGGTGTGACATTTGAGCTACCTATATAAGGATTTGAGCTATTTTTTACACATATAGATGATATACAATTTTTAGATCTTAGAGATTTTTCTTAGAGAGGAAGAAAAGAAGAGAGGAGGCTAGAGACACATTCTTGGGAGTTCTTTCATCCAGATCAAGAAGAGGAGTATTTCTACCATGGAGATAGCCCTTGAGGGTTGGAGGAGCACATCCATGAGTGGCTAGACATTTTCTTGGGGCTAGAGTTAGCCCTAAACATGCCTTCTACATCTTGATTTATGTATTTTTGAGGGGATTTGTGTTGTAATACATGTTTTGACACTTATTTATATATGAATCTTGTTTATTCAATGATTTATGTGGTTTAATTCTTTCAATTAATCATTTCATTCTATCCATATGTCTATGTATGTTAGAATAGATGTTCATGTGTTTATCTCTAACTTTTGTGTTATTGATGCATGTCTATGTGTATTGATGCTATAGATCTAGAGATTTTCAAGACAAAGTGCTTAATAGAATGCTCTTGTGTTTTCTTTGATGGTTCATACTCATTTCTTGATGGATTGTGCATCTCCCATAGTTTAATTAGTTTAATTCATGCCATTAGCCTAGTTGTAGTGTAGTTGCCTTAGATGATAGATGGGAGGACAATTCATGCTTGTTGTTTGATGTTCCATACTTTTGAATGCAAGTAGCATATGTCTCTAACCTTGTGATGTGTTTGGATTGTGAGCTTAAAAGGAGAATTAATGGCTTAGTTTGATATATTGTGCTTTTCACTATGTTGTTTAGACAATATATGCTTAATTGGTCATCCATGCTTGTTGAAACAACCGCATACTCACCAATATTGCAACACATGTTTACCCCTCATTAATTGTTCATTAAGTGTGTAGAAAGGCTATGCTTATTGGTGATATCTAAATCCCAAGATTTTTCTCTCTTGTTTTCACTATCCTTTAATTACTTGCTTTACATTGATTTGATTAGTTCAATTTGTAGTTTAATTAATCAAACCGACTACCTTTTGATCATTCGACCTACTAACCCTAATATTGTTCCCACACCTCAATACGACACCAATCCCTTGGGACGATCCCTACTCACCCTAGCTATATTTTTATTTAGAGGTAGTAGTGGCATTTACAAATTTAAAACTTGGCCACACTCATTTTAGTGTAAACCACTTTCCAAACTTTTGGTGCAACCGACAGCGACACCACCAAGTTTTTGGCGCCGTTGCCTGGAATTGATTGAAAGTAACGTCGTATTGTGGAACAAATTAGGAATTAGTACTCTTTTGATCGTGTCTTTACTTTATTTTTATTTTAATTTTGGTTACTCATTGTGTTGGTTCTTGTTTGACTAGGTACATTGAGCTAAGGAAGTGAGCAAGGGAGCACTCTAAGCAAAGAGCTAAGCGAAGAAATCATAAAAAGCTAAAATCTAATTTTTTTTTTGTAAAGCTTAAGTTGAAAAATAATTTGAAGTGCTTAAGGACCCTTTGTGAGCTCTTCCTAAACTCAATCTCTAGTTAAATCGTCGCCCCGGTGGAGGCTTATTTTTCAATTCATAGATAAATCGTGAGCCAGAGTGGAGGCAATTTTAATTTTCTTTGCATATTATTCAAGCATGGGATGTGGAGATTTGTTGATTGATTTGTTGTGGGGGCGAAGTGTTTGATATTTGCTTACTTTTTGTTATTTGTTAGTGCATGCATGGTCGTAGGTCATTGAATCATACTCTTATCCCTCTTGATTTTCATCTTGAATCGGTTGTTCGTAATCCTAGGGGAAGAGGTAGTTCTCGTCACTCCATTTCATCAATGGAGGAGCAAAACAATGATTATGTGGAGGACCTTGGTTACATAGACCAACAAGGTATCCTCCACCCCAATGTGCATCATGACAACATCCAAGTTTCATTAGGCATGCCAAGACCATTCATTCACCCACCACAACAACAAGGCCAAGTTCCATTGGGAATGCCTGGGCCATTGTTTGCTCCACAACCTCCCATAGTCCAAGGAAATCAAGGCGCTTATGTAGCACCGCCGGTTGCAAATCCACCCCTTGCTTTAAGAGATTATTATGTGCCGAATGAGTATAATGCACTCACTTGCATTCAATTGCCACCATTTAGAGCACATCACTATGAGATTAAACTGTAAACCATTCAAATGTTTCCTAACTATCATCGACTTCCAAATGAAGAACCTTATAAGCATTTGTACGAGTTTCTTGAAGTATGTTCCACTGTGTGATACACGGACATGCTGGAAGAGGTTTTAAAACTTAAATTTTTTCCATTCACCCTTAAAGACAAGGCAAAATATTGGTTCAATAATCTTAGGCCTTTTTCGATAACTTCTTGGGCGGATATGCAACAAGAGTTCTTGAAGAAGTACTATCCGGTTTCTAAGACCAATGCCATGAGAACCTCAATTCGAGAGTTTTCATAAGGGGATGGGGAAATGTTTCATGAGGCATGGGAAAGATTTAATGAATTGCTTAGGAAGTGTCTACATTATGACATACCTAAGTGGCAATTGGTTCAATACTTCTTTGAAAGTTTGCCGGATAATCACAAGGGTATGGTTGATGCATCAATGGGTGGTGTTATTCTTGACAAAAATGAAAATGATGTTTGGCGTCTCTATGCAAGCATGTGTAAAAATTCAATGCATAGATTATTATCTTCTAAGAATGGTAGAAATTTAAGTGGAAGGAAGAATGTTGGCTTATATTAAGTCGACAATTCAAATGAAATAGCCGCCGAGATGAAATCCTTATCTCAAAGATTTGATCGATTCTTGATCAATCAAAACTCTGCGAATCAAATGTCTTCCTCCCATAACCATTCTCATTATTCATCCAATGAGACATGTATAACTTGTTTTAGTGTTTTACATTCTAATTCCAATTGTCCCCATGGACATGTTCAAAATGATCATCATGAACAAGTCAATGCAGCATTTGTTAATCAAGGGAACCATCCTTTTGGCAACTATTACAATTCTAGTTGGAGGAATCACCCGAACTTCTCTTGGAAAAGCCAAGGGGAAGGCTCAAACCCTCCCCAAGGTGGTTTTCAAGGGAAGTATATTCCACCTCCAATGCAAGGCCAAGGATCCCAAGGATTTAGATCATCATATCAATTAGATGGAAACCAATTCTCTAATTCTCATTTTCCGAATCAATCATATTCCCAAGGAAATTCTAGGAGTCCCGCTGAAGAGAAAGTTTTGACTGCTGCAGGTACTCTAGAGGCGAACACTCAATTGCTTCATTCTCACTCTCAATCCATTACTAAATTAGAAACCCAAGTAGGGCAAATAGTTAGTACTTTAAATGCTAGAGAGAAAGGGAAAATGCCTTTGAATACCCCACCTAAGCAACAATGCATTGTGGAGACTCATTCCTTATTGGAAGGTCCTACAATTAAACATGTCAATGCAGTGACAACCTTGAGAAGTGGGAAGATTGTGAACAACCAAGTAGGTATGTCCAATGAAGAGAGTGAACCAGTGTAACTAAAAGTTGACACCCGTCCCGTTTCACATTTTATTCCTCCTTCATTGCATGTAAATGAACTTTCAAATGAGAAAGTGTTGAAAAGTGATTTCGAAAATGATTTGAAAAATGAAATTTTGAAAAATGATTTGCAAAATTCTTGTGTTAAAGAAACTTCAAAGAAAAATTCTGAAAAGGTTTTTGAATCAAAAGCTTCATTTTCGGATGCCTTAAAAGGATCCATTTCCATTGACAAACAAAAGACCAAAGTGAATGAGATTATTGAAGTGTTTAGGCAAGTGAAGATCAATCTTTCGCTTTTGGATGCAATTAAGCAAATTCCGGCTTATGCCAAGTTCTTAAAGGATCTTTGCACCCAAACGAGGAAGAACAAAAGCCAAGCACCTAGAAAAGTGGTCTTGACTGAGCAAGTGAGCTCAATTTTGCAACATAACATTCTTCCGAAGTTTAAGGATCCCGGTTCACCTACTACTTCTTGCATCATTGGTGACCATGTCATTAATCGGGCTCTCCTTGATTTAGGAGCAAGTGTTAACCTTCTTCCATATTCGGTATATATGAAATTGGGCTTAGGAGATTTAAAACCGACGTCGGTAGTTTTACAACTTACCGACCGATCCATTAAAAAGCCTAGGGGTATCATTGAGGATGTCTTGATTAAGATTGATAAATTCTTCTTTCCCATTGATTTTGTTGTCATTAACACGGAACCGGTCTCAAATCCCAAGAGCCAAATTCCCTTCTTGGCGACATCAAATGCCAACATAAATTGTAGGACGGGGATAATGAAGATCTCATTTGGCCACATGAAGGTGAAGTTGAATATCTTCAATCTAACTCTGAATTCATTTGACAAGCATGAAAAGGTGAATGTTGTAGAAAAATGTCATGACAAGGGATATGAAGGAATAGAGTCTTTACTTGAAACCAAAACTTTGAAAAATTCACCTTCGACCTTGAATTCAAAGAATGGAGTTCCAAAACCTTATTTTTAAAGGGCATGGAAGCCCAAAGACTGCTTTGACCGAGGACCAACAATCTCTTTCGATCCTAATCCAACAAGTTCTTTAGGGAACTATTTGTTGAGTGAAGTTCAAAGTACTTTTCACCCCGTCAAGGAGGGGATGCACTACAAGATGTTTGATCCAGGCTAGTGCATTTCGTAGGTTTCACAACCCTATTCCTCCCTCATTTCTATTTTAAATTTCATTTCTTGCGTCGTCTAGATATGTTTTAAAGTTTATACACATGGCTAGGAACTATGATTGAGAATGCATGCACTTTCATTCTAAAAATAGGCATTTTGTTCCTATTCGATCGATCTCAAAAGAGGTTCGATCGATCAAACATCCATTCCTGCATCCAATCATCTCTCTGTTCCATCTATCGAAAATTTCCTTCATTAATCAACTCTCTGTGTATCGATCAAAAATTTTCTTGGATCGATCTGAAAGTCCTTAGATCAATCCAACTTTTTCTTGGATCGATCTTCACTCCACACTTAGAAATTTTTTTGAGATCCATGAAAAAGGCCTCTTTGTGCATCGATCGAATTGTCTGCAGGTTTTTATCGAAGTTTATTCCAAATCGATCTTGGATTGATCGATCTTTGCCTCACTGTTGACTTTGACTTTGTTTTGAATTAAAAAAATAATAATAATAATAATAAAAATAAAACTTCAAAAATATTTTTATTTTATTCTACTTTTATTTATTTATTTATTTATTTTTACCTTTATTTGTATTTGTATTTTTGTTTTTATTTTTATTTTATTTTATTTTCTAAAAATTCAAAAATATTTTCTTTTTAATTTAATTTTAATTTTCAAATATATATATATATATATATATATATATATAATATAAATAAATAAGATAAAATAATAATAATAATAATATAAAAATATTTTCTTTTTAAATTCCATTTTATTTTAAAATTTTTCTAAAAATCCAAAAAATATTTTTTGTTTTAAAAAAAAATCCAAAAATTTAAAAAAAATTTTGCCATTTTGAAGCATAGATCGATGTGTAATCTTTCAAGATTGATTTATGTTCAATCGATCTGAGATTTTTCCAGATCGATCGAACTTGTCGGGACCAGTTTTTAAAATAAAACCCTAGGGTCATTTTGATCGATTTACACATCGATCTCAAGACCCATTTCTCCTTTCGCCGTTGCAACCCACCTTCCCAACCTTCGACGAGTCTCCGGCAAGCTTCCCGAGCCTCAAATCTCTCTCTCTCGATCTCAGATCTCGTCTCTCTCTCTCGGACCACTTCTCTCGTTCGTTTTAGGTAAGTTGGGGTTTGATTTTTCAATTTTGAGTTTCAATCCTTATGTATTTGAACTTACCATGTTAGATCTAAGCTTCCCATGTTTAAATTCTTTCTATTTTTGAAGCTTGAAACATGTTTATATATATGTATATATTTTGTATAAATTTTGATTTCAATTTGATTTTGGGGGTCATGGGCAAAGGAAAATGACCAATCTTGTTGTGTTATGGGTCCCACAAACATGTTTGGGTACCCCCCGTACCATCCACGTCACAGATCTGTGACGATTCGCATTATTTGCAGAGTTCGATCGATCTCTGTTTTTCTCAGATCGATCTGAGTGAGATCGATCTCACTCAATCCAATGTAATTCCAAATCGATCCAACTAAGATTGATCTAACATTTTTATGATCGATCGAACTTCACAGATTTGCATACACACTTCACACACCATCTTTTGTGATTCCATGATATCTCATATATGCCCAATGCCTGTGTTTTCCACATTGGTTGCATTCCATACTTATACTGTCTAAGCATGTTTCACGTAATGTCACTTATTCCTTATGACTTGCATGGATTCATGTCCTTTATTTTGTTTTGTCTATCTTATTTGACATACATGTTCCAATATACTGTGCTTTATTTCTTTATTTCGGTACTGACTTCCTTTGCAAAGTTTTTCTTTTTGTTTTGCAGGCCATGGCTAGGGTCAAGACTGTTGCCCATGGACATTATCATCGCAGAGTCAGGCGGAGATTAGAGGAGCAGGCTGGACCATCTCACATCCAGGACCCC